TGAATAACGCAGCAGCTTTGTATTAAGCCTTTTGCAAGTTTCTGTAACGGTGTGTGAGATTGCTGCTTATTTCAGTTCATTAAAAAGATGCCTCATCTTTGAAAGTGACTTCCAAGTTGCACACTTCCATTGAGTAGTCATCCGTTCTATCATTTCCTCTTCCAAGGACGTTGGTGAGGGTTGACAGAGAAGGGCTGTCCTTCCTGTCCCTCTCAGATAACTGCAAAACATCTGATATCAATCCCCAACCTGTACCTGTGCTGCTCTGTTCTTTTGCATCATCACTGATCAGTCGATGAAGGGAAGGAGGGAGGTCGGAGTGAAGCAGGGAGTCACTAAGAAACCGGGACTAAAAGGAGTCCAGATTTTAAAAAGGAATGAAGATTTAAATCTCCTCACAAAGGTGAGAGGTAAACTGCCAAGATGTATCCTCTGGACAGAGGAAAGGAGGCAAGGAGACATGGTGGGGCAATGGGGAAGAACAGAAAAGCATTCAAAGAAAGAGGTTGCCAAAGAATATGAAGGATAAGCAAAGAGATGGGAAAGGATAGAGGGGAGTACTGGAAGGCTAGCTGTTCTGCAAAGAGAGAGGAGGCAAAGAAAAGCGAGTTATATGTGAGGCTGGACCATAAGGGAGGAGAACGGGACTTCAGGCTGGAAAGGATGTCCAGCAGGTTAGGATGCTCAAGGATGGAGATGGAAATGTACTAACGAGTGGAGAGTGTGTGCTGGGAAGGTGGGAGGAGCACTTTGAGACGCTGGTAAAAGATGGAAATGAGAGGACAGATGGAGGATGGTGAATCAGGAAGTGCAGGAAGTTAGAAGGAGGAAGTGAGAAGAGCTATATAGAGGATCTAGAGAAAAAGGCATTTGGTCCACATAACATACCTGTGGAGGTATGAAGATGTATTTTGTTGTCAGTTCTAACATTTAACATGCTTCTCCACGTGTATCTTTGTCCCTGTAGAATGATGGACTTTAAATTATAAGGAAATGGCTTTAAAACCTTCCCAGACTGATAGACTAAGTTGCCGATAACTTTTCCTTCCAAGCGTCGCGTTAGAGACCTGAGTGAGAAAATGCTGGGAGGCAATGTCAAATGTAAATAAAAGAAGAATGCACTGATTTTATAAAACATTTGTTTTCAAAGTACAACATAGAAATCATATCAAAAGCTTCAACTGAGACATTCTCACATTTTATGAAACATATTTTATGATTTGGGTAAGAAATGTAGGATGTCTTAACTGGGTCACAGTTAATTTAAAAATGGACTGAGGCAACGTGAAAAATTGTTCTGTGCTCAGAGTAATTCAAATGTAAAACTGTTCCTGGAAAACATGGATACTACACCCTCCAGGCTAAACACACCTCCCGGCTTATGAGTGCTAACTTAAAAGCCTGCGACGCTGATTGTATGGAGGGGGGGGACGACATACTTTTGTGACATACGAATTTAAAATCGAGCAACATTTAAAATGGTGCATTTACTGGGTTTAAACATTTCAGTGAGGAGGGGAAGCTTCTTTGGGAGTCCTGAGGTGTAACGGGAAGGTCGGAGGGCAGGCAAAAAGGGAGGGAGACGGAAAA